AACAGGAAAGCAACCTTTGGTAAGCAAATTAGAAGAAATGATGTGACCTATGGTCAGAGGGCAGAGAGAAAAAAGAGAGCACAAAACTGGATCTCCCTTCTCAAGCCATTAAACATGATGAGATACATTTTCAATATTCCTTGGACACACTGGGCCTCCCAGCCTTCCGCAGTGGCACTCTGGTCTTGTTTTGAATGTGATCATAAGGAAGGACAGAGTGTGCCTCTCTGGATCGCTCAAGTGCTGTGCGGGTCTTCCTGCAGTGGCTCTTTTGAACTTTCAGAACTTGGCTCCAGGAACCTCAAACAAAACACTGCTTACTGTTTATAGTCATTTACAAAGAAATCCGGTTTCATTTGGTGTTTCTTTATAAGGAGAAATGGATTTATGTTGCCTGTTTTTCTACTTTCACTAATTTGACTCAAGCGTGAGTGCTTGCTCGTTATCTGGTTGTGAGTTCTTCCAGAAGAAACTTTCTGATATTAAGAACTTATGGACTCCTACATTTTTCGTGATCCCTTCCTAGGAGAGAAGCGGACCTTCCTTCCAGGGGAAGAGAGAGTTCTGACGTGGGTTCATGCACTTTTGTTTGCATGACTCTCTCTCTGTCTGATTAGTGCTTAGAGATGCCATCATAAAAGACTCACTTACCCACTTTGCATCTTCCCAACAACAGCCACATTAAACCTGTTTTTGAAGTCAAAACCATAGGATACACCTGTTGCAATCACAGTCTGCAAAGTTGCAAAATTGCCCAAATTAGAAATCTGAGAAGAAATGAAGAGTCTTGTTTTGAAAAAATACCATTGCCAGACCCCACCCCTAGGCCTATTAAATAAGGATCTCTGGGCCCAGGCTTTGGTACTTTTAGAAAGGCAATTCTGGAATCCCTGAATGGTGCAAATGGTTAGCATGCTTGGCTGTTAACTGGGAGGCTGGAGGTACCCAGAGGCACCCTGGAAGAAAGGTCTGATGATCTACTTAAAAAAAAAAAAATCAGCCATTGAAAACTCTATGGAGGCATCTCTAGGAGTCAGAGTCGACTCAGGGCAACTAGTTTTATTTTACTTTGTTTTTGAGGCAGTTCTAATGTACTGCTGCCAGGTTGAGAACCACAGCTCTAATTCAAATGTATCTATCAACATGTCTTCTCAGAGGTCTTGCTATGTGCACCATCCATGTGTTACATGGAAAGAATAAATCGAAATGTGTAAAAGGACATTATTAAATTCTGACTGACTCAGCATTATGCCTAGAAATTGCAGAGATGACATCTTGGCCCCTCAAAAACCTCCTGATTTAACAAATGGTGAAGGCCTTTCAATGAAAACACCCTAGACTAAAGAACTATGAGAGAAAGTCTTAAGATGTTCAGTTACCATGATAAGTTCAATTGGAATGGGCACTGGAAGCTTGGCTTTGTAGCGCTGGTTAATTTCTTTAACCACAAATACAATCAACAGAATAATCAGGGATGTCACCAGGTCTGCAATATTAGTCTTCTCTATTTGTGAGAATATGGATTGTAGAACCTAAAATTGTAAAAACAAAAAACTCAAGTCCTATATTAATGTGTAATTTGGTTTCAACACTTAATTATTTTAAAATAGATAAACATTAATGTCTAAGAAAAAGTACTGACATAGATTGATAGCATGTTAACCATGAACACAAGACTGTAGGACGAATGCGGAGGTATGAGGAGGGTAAGTGCGCAAACAGAGGACAGTGGCAGTTGAGTGACAGAATTCTTGCCTTCCCTATGAGACTGGGGTTTGTTTTCCAATGAGCACACCTCATGTGCAGTTACCACTAGTCTGTCAGTGGAAGCTTGGGTGTTGCTACGATGTTGTACGGGTTTCAGTGAAGCTTCCAGACCAAGATGGACTAGGAGGAAAGGTGTGGCAGTTTACTTCTGAAAAGCAGCCACTGAAAGCCCTATGAATCACGCCTGAGTTAGCCAGGAGGCGGGGGCTGACTTGAGGGCAAGGAACAACAAAGCAAGCATTGTGCGGGCATTCCACCGCTTTAAGGATGCTTCTGGCATTTTACTGGGAATCTCTTATGCTAATGCCAAATTTTATTGGATAGTTTTTCCTTTATTTATTTATTTTAAATTTTTCCTTCTTTTGCTGTTAGATGTCTTTGGTCATTGTTATGGACTGAATTATGTCCCCCAAAATATTTATGCCGTAAATCCTAACCTCCATGCCTGTGGTTATAACCCCACTTGGGAATGGGTTGTCTTTGTTATGTTAATGAGACAGGATTAGTGTAGGGTGGATCTTGGGTCAATCTCTCTTTTTTTCCCCTAAATTTTATTTCTTTAGTTGTTGTTGAGAATATATACAGCAAAACATATACCAATTCAAGAGTTTCCACATGAATAATGTACTGACAGTGATCATATTCTTAGAGTTGCACAACCATTTTCTCTCTCCTTTGCAGAATTATTCTTCCCTCATTAACATAAACTCATTGCCCCCAAGTTTCCTATCTAATCTTTCAAGTTGCTTTTGTCAGTTTGATCCTATACAGATAGTTCTTAAAAGGGCATAAAGCTCAAGGCAGATCTATTTTTACTGGTTAAGCTAAACTGTTGTTCAGTTTTAGGATGACTTCAGGGGATATTTTTGGTTTAAGGTTTGAAGACATTCTCTGGGCAATAATGTCAGGGTTTCATCCACCCTCCATGGCTCCAGAAACTCTAGAGTCCATAAGAATTTGAAATTCCTTTCTGCATCTTCCCCTTTGTGATCAGGATTCTTCTATAGAATCTTTGATCAAAATGTTCAGTAATGCTAGCCAGGCACCATTCAGTTCTCCCGGCCTCATGGCACAGGAGGCAGTTGTTCATAGAGGCAATTAGCCACACATTCCATGTTGTTGTTATGTGCCGTCGAGTCGGACCTGACTCATAGTGACCCCTCCTTGGGTTTCCGAGGCAGTATCACCACGGAAGTAGATTGCCCCATCTTCCTTTCGAGGAGTGGCTGGTGGGTTTGAACTGCCAGCCTTCTGGTTAGCAGTCAAGTGCCTTAGCTACTATGCTACCAGAGCTCCCACATTCCATAGCCTTCTCTTATTCCTGATTCTCCTTCTTCCTCTGTTTCTCCAGGTGAATAGGGAGCAATTTTTGTGCTTTGCATGGCCACTTGCAAGCTTTTAAGATCTTGGGCACTATACAATCAACTAGGAGGTAGAGCAGAAGACTAAATATGTGACTAGGCCAATTAACTGGGATGTACCATGAAATCGTGACTCTAAATTTCCAAGCCAAGGAACAAAATCCCATAAAGTATTTAGTTGTGCATAAGCAGCTAAAACAGCTACTCTCTCTCTCTCTCTTTTTGTTTTAAGTATATCTATCACACAAATTTTGCCAATGCAACTTTTTACAGGCGTACAATTATTGAAAACAATTACAATAATTGTCTGTACAATCCTACCCTCAATCAATGTCATTTTTCCATCACCATTAACCCCTCTTTTCCCACTCCCTTCCACCCATGGTAACCAGCAATAACCTTTGGTGTTTATACATTTGTCTTTTTTTTTCCCCCACATATAAGTGATCTCACTTGTATTTGTCCTTTTGTGGTTGACTTATTTCACTCAGCATAATGTTTACAAGCTCCATCCAACTATGGCATATATCAAGGTTTCTTTTCTTTTACTGGCTGAGTAGTATGCCATTGTAAGTATGTATAACATTTTGTTTATCCATTCACCTACTGGTGGACATTTATGTTGCTTTCACCTTTAGTGATTGTGAATAGTACTGCAATAAACATTAGTAGACAAGTCTCTTTTTGAGTCGAGTCTTTGCATTCAAGTCTTTTGGGTGTGTAAGCTAGGAGTGGAATTGCTGGGTCATATTTTTAGTTTTTTGAGGAACTGTCACATTATTTTCCAAAACAGCTGTATCATTTTGCATTGCCATCAGCAATAGATAAGGGTTCCAACTTCCCCACATTCTCATAACATTTGTTATTTTCTGTTTTGTTAATCTTCGCCATCCTACTGGGTGCAATGGTATCTCATTGTGGTTATAATTTGCATCTCTGTTGGCTAATGTTGCTTTTCACGTGTTTTGTGGCCATTTGAATGTCCTTTTTGGTGAAATGGCTATTCAAATCTTTGCCCGTTTTATGATTGGATTATTTGTCATTTTATTGTTAGGAGCTCTGGTAGCATAGTGCCTAAGGCACTTGACTGCTAACCAGAAGGCTGGCGGTTCAAACCCACCAGCCACTCCTCGGAAGGAAGGTTGGGCAATCCTACTTCCATAGTGATACTGCCTCGGCAACCCAAGGAGGGGACGCTATGAGTCGAGGCTGACTTGACGGCAAATAACAACAACATTGTTAAGTTGTTGACGTTTTACATAAACTTTTGTTGAGTCAATCTCCTCTGAGATATAAAAGAGAGTAAACAAGCAAGTGAGTATGCAGACATAGGGGAAGGGAGATGCCAAGCCACATGAGGATTGCACAGGAGCAGAAGCTCAGAAGGGACAAGGACCTTCTTCCATAGCTTACAGGGAGAGAAAGCCTTACCCTAGAGCCAGCACCCTCAGTTGAGACTTCTAGTCTTCCAAAAGAAACTCTGGTAGTGTAGTGCCTAAGGCACTTGACTGCTAACCAAAAGGCTGGCAGTTCAAACCCACCAGCAACTCCTCAGAAGGAAGGTTGGGCAATCTACTTCTGTAGTGATACTGCCTCGGAAACCCAAGAAGGGGTCACTATGAGTTGGGTCTGACTTGATGGCACCCAACAACAACAGTCTTCTAAACTGTGAGAAAATTAATTTCTGTTTGTTAAAGTCATGCGCTTGTGGTATTTCTGTTATAGCAACATTAGATAACTAAGACAGAATTTGGTGCCAGAATCATATACCTAAAATGTGGAAGCAGTTTTGGAATTGGGTAATATAGGAAGAGGCTGGAAGAGTTTTAAGATGCTTAATAGTAAAAGCCTAGATTGCTTTGAAGAGACTGTTGGTAGAACTATGGACATCAAAGGCAATTCTGATAAGGGCTCAGAAGGAAGTGAAGAGAGCTATAGAGAACATCTCTATTGTCTTAGAGAATATAAATGGCACTAGAAACAGGATGTTGCTTGAAATGTGGATATTAAATGTGCTTCTGGTGCAGTTTTAAAAGAAAAGGATGAGTATGTGATTGGACAACAGAGGTAGGGCACTGCTTTTTGTTCTGTGGCAAAGAATTTGTCTGAATTATGTTCAAATGTTTGGTGGAAGATAGAACTTCTAAAATAGTGAAATTTAGCTAAGGAGATATCTGAGGAAGATCTTAAAGGGGACACATGGTTTCTCCTTGCACTTACAGTAAAATGAAAGAGGGAAGAGGTGGACTTAAAAATGAACTGTGCAAAGTGAAAACAGAACTCACAGATCTGAAAAATTCTGTGTACAAATTAAGACACGTGTCCTAGAATCTTCACCATGGAAGTGGCTACATAATCCTTTGTTAAAGAAATTTAGCCTGTGACTAAAGGATTTAACCAACTACCACAGAAGAAAACCCATCAGCTTAGACTGAAGGGGTTACAGACAGGACAAAAGGAAAGAAAACTGTCTGTCTCTTGCAATTCTACAGGCAGGAAACAGGTCAAAGGAGCTACATTCTCGAAAAAAAGAAAAGAACTATCTCCAAAGGACCTCAGTGATCAGCAGAACTGTTGGAAAGAGTATGGGAAGCAGGGTCTTCTCAATTTCAAAGAGTGGGGGCACGATCTTCTCCTGACTCTCAAAGGGTGGGGTCATAGCCTCCTAGGTTTCAGAGCTGAATATTTGCCAACTTGGTTCCGGAGTGGGGGGCTGCCATTAAGGTGTGCCGGGGGATGGGCCTCTGCCCGAAGCTGAGGGGGTGGGGCTTCCATGGCTAAGGGGCTTGTTGGGATGGGAATGGATGGCATCACCACTCACATGGACGAGGAGAATGGGTGCCCAGAATCACAGGAGCAGAGTGGCCATTCCATGGGCGTGAGGGTAGAGATGAACCCAGAAAGCACAGCAACACCCAGAGTTTGGAGAGCAGGGACATTGCCCAGCTCATGTCAGAGAACAGAGGGCTATTTTCAAGCCTTGAGAGCTAATGTAATTTGTTCTGCTGGGTTTTGGTGCCTGTTATCCATTTTTTTCCCCTCCAATTTTTCCCATTTGTAATGGAAATGTCTACCTTGTACCACCATTGTAATTTTTGGAAGCACATAACTTGTAGGTTAGTTTCACAGGTTCATAGATTAAGAGGAATATTGCCTCAGGATGAAAACACCTAAAGTCTCATCCACATTTGATTTACATATTTCAGAAGATGAGATTTTGGATTTGGAGTTGATTTAAGACTTTTGAGATGATATTATAGGGTGAAAGTGTTTTGTATTTGTAAGGACATTAATTTTGGGGACTAAAGTGTAGAATGTTATGGATTGAATTGTGTCCCCCCCAAAATATGTGTTATAAATCCTAACCTCTATGCCTTTGGTTATAATCCCATTTTGGAAAGGGTTGTCTTGTTATGTTAATGAGACAGGGTTAGTGTAGGTTGTATCTTGAGTCAATCTCTTTGAGATATAAAAGAGATCAAACAAGGAAGCATTAAGCAGAAATAGGGGAAGAGAGATGCCAAGACACCTGAAGATTGCCCAGGAGCAGAATCTCAGAGTAAAGACCTTCTTCCAGAGCTCAAAGGGAGAGAAAGCCTTCCCCTAGAGCTGACACCCTGAATCCAGACTTCTAGCCTCGTAAACTGTGAGAAAATAAACTTCTGTTTTTAAAGCCATCCATTTGTGGTATTTCTGTTATAGCGGCACAAGGTAACTAAGACATTCTTTTTTTTTTTTTTTTGACAATATCACTACAGCTCTGTTCAGGGGAGTAACCTGTGATATCTAATAGTTTTTCTTAGCATGCATCCCCTTAATTCCTGGCCTCTTTTAATTTCAGACATTTTGCATTTCTCAGCTGACACTCCTTGTCACCTTTGGAAAAAATTTCCTGGCTAACTAGGCCCTGCACAGCCTGACCTCTAGAAACCAATTGACATCCATATCCAAAGGGCCCAGAGCACCGGAGGCAGGTCCAAGCTGGCTCTAGGACACACTGCTTCTGGAGCAGCTCTGGGTGGGAGCAGAGAGTGTTGGTTCTAGTTTGAAGCAAGCTCTGTCCAGACCTCCAGAGACTGTTTGACATAAGTGCTAAGAACACTATCTGCTCTCCAGGGCATCTTCTGGAGGTGGAAGAACCATTACTCCATTTAAATATTGGCCAATTTCCTTTTGCTTTATCAGCAAGGACTTGTACAAGATTCAGAAGGGCCCCAGTTCTAAAATAACAAGACCTGCTTTTTAAGACATAGGGAAACATTCTAACTCAATTAGCAGAATTATCTGAAATTTTCAAATGGGAGAATTTAAAAACTTGGGACAAAATATTAAAGCTTTTAGCAATATACTTAAATTTTGAAAATACTTAAGAGTAAAATTTAAGAAGTGGCACTTAATCCCTGTTGGCAACATGAGCTGTGTGGTAGATGTGGTTGATTTTCAGTGTTGCTCTCTTGACCACTTTTTCTTGATGTGAATAAATTTCACAACTCGTTGATTCCTTGTGAGTTGTAGGTAAACCCCTTGGCAAAGGCATTCAAGGAAAGGTCTCTGGAAACAGAATAGCGAGTTTCATGTATTTCAATCTTTTTTAAGCGTGAGAAGTACTTACTTTGAAAATTGAAAATGGATCACTGTGTGCCGGGACACTCAGCTGAAGAATAAATTTGAGTTGGGAGACCAAAACATGGATAGCAGCTGCTGTGGTGAAACCACTGATTAGGGAATCTGACAGGTATATCACCACAAATCCGATCTGCAGAGCCCCCATGGCCAACTGGAAAGAGAAGGGCAAAGGCCTCTGTTAGGAGGACACTTCAGCAAAGTCAAGGATCAGCAATTTAAATGATTTAAAAGGGTTGGCCTGCACCTCTATGCCTTGAAGAAGCAGGCACCCTCGCCTCCTGGAACTCTTTTCAGGGTCCTCCTCACTTCCATGGAATGGTACATGGTACATGGTCAATGTAAATCTAGCATGCCTTCGGGAAGTAGCGGGCTTATTTTGCCCTGCCCTCCTTCTCATGAAGTTCAGGATCTTTAGAAGACTCGTAAACCATTTATAGCAGAGTCTTATCTCATAAATTTGCCCACATGATATTTAGTTACACTCTCTAGCTGTCACAGCATAGAAGGGCAAGTGTCCATTCATATTCCCTCAAACAAGTTGCTTGATTTGCATTTGAGATACTTAACTGTGTTCCCTGGACATTGTTAAGTCTACTCCGGACATTAGAAGTACTCAGCTTTAACTGGGGAACAGAGGTGGTTAATTGCCTCACAGCATAGGTGTTTTGCGATAAAGAGAACTGGGTGGTTCCTCCTCCCTTGGATGCCTGGACTGTCTTTCATGGAATGCAACTGGAAGTATGGGCACACAAAAGCACTAGGTTGAGTAAAGTATTCTGAAGAACTGACCACAGTGCTTGTCAATAGGAAACACCACTGTGTCTTACTTTGTAGAAATCAACTTTTTCTTTCTTAGGGAGCTATCTTATAGAATAATATCACTAACCATGAACTTAGGTGATAACCTGAAATTTCTATGGGATTTTCATTATTCAGCTACTGTGTCAGGTGTGGCTTGGGAGTGAGGCCTTAGGTGCCTTCACAGTCCTTGTCAGCTTTTCCCAAATCTTCGATATGCATAGTTCAAAGTGCAAACTCCCTACTTCTTTCATTTAGGTTACAATTTCTAAACAATTAGAGAGAAAAAAATTCAAAGCCACCACTGTCACTAATACTGCAATGTTGTTGTTATGTGCCATTGAGTCAGACCTGACTCACAGCGACCCCTCCTTGGGTTTCCTAGGCAGTATCACTACAGAAGTAGATTGCCCCATCTTCCTTCCAAGGAGTGGCTGGTGGGTTACAGAGCTATTCCATTGACTATCAATTCCCAGTTATTTTATTGAATCAGGCATTTCACTCCTCAGCGTGCCTCCCGTTCCCACGCTTTCTTCTATCCAGACCTGGGTTCCCTCCCTCACCTTTGCAACAGAAATCTGCCCCTCTACTTCTGGTAGTGGTGAGTGACTCTTCATATACTATTTGGCTAGGTCATCAAAGGAAGGATACCAACCAATAGGAAGAGTGGGGAAGGCTGACAGGAGGGAGAAAAAACTAGGATGTGTACTGGTCAGGACAGGTAGATTGCGGAGGACAGGTTTCATGAGAAAGTGCTCACCTGGATAATTCCAGAAAGGACTGTGACCGTTGCAGCCACCATCACCTTCTGGTCCACTACTTCTGTATCATTAGTCAATAAACTATCAGTAGCTTCATTGGCTTCTGGGACTAATCTCATAACTACTGCTCCCACCATCATACTCAGAACCGGAAATGGACCTAATTAATATCAGAGGACAAATCGTAGTCATTATATGCCTCCCTAAAGCATAATTGTCTTTCAGTCATAATGTGAGGACATAAAAATCTGTAACTCTGCCCTCCTTCCCCAGCTTCTGTCCTAATTCTTACAGGAAATGTATGATCCATCTCCTGGACTATGTCCAGTTGGGAGTTGATGGAATGTGTGGCTAATAGAATCCATTAAAAAAAACAAAACAAGACAAAACAAAACCAATGTGAGCATTAATCAACTCAATAATTCACTTACCAACAGATATGTGTTTAGAAGTGCCCAAGAAGAAGTAGATTATGACTGGGAAAAAGGCTGCATACAATCCGTAGCTTGGGGGGATGTTGACCAGCAGAGCAAATGCTAGACCTGTAAACACACAGTGTAGAGCCCTTATTTTGTGCAAGAGCAATCAGAAAAGTTCTGTTTAGGTTCTTTATGTATTTAAGATTGAATTTTAAAAATAAGTTACCTTATTAACACAAAATGGGAGCTCTGGTAGTATAGTGCCTTGCTAACCACAAGACTGGCGGTTCAAACCCACCAGCCACTCCTCGGAAGAAGAGTTGGGCAATCTACTTCAGTAGTGATACTGCCTCAGAAACACAAGGAGGGGTCGCTATGAGTCGGGTCCGACTGAACGGCACATAACAACAACAACAACATTAACAGAAAATAAGGAGCTCTGGTGGCTTTGTGCTGCTAACCAAAAGGTCAGCAGTTGGAATCCACTGGGTACTTCATGGGAGAAAGATGAGGCAGCAGTCGGCTTCAGTAAAGATTTACAGCCTTGGAAACCTTATGGGGCTGTTCTACTCTGTCTTGAAAGGTCGCTATGAGTCAGACTCAACTAAGTGGCAGTGGGCTTATTAACCCAAAATGGATCAAAGATGTAAGAGCAAAAACAATAAAATTCTTATAAGAAAAAATAGGTATAAATCTTTGTGACCTTAGATTAGACAACAGTTTCTTAATATGTTGCCTAAATCATAAGTAATCAAAGAACAAAATAGACAAACTGGACTTCATCAAAATTTAAAAAATTTATATTTCAAAGGGCATTGTCAAGAAAGTAAAAGTCAGCCTACAGAGTGGGAGAAAGTATTTGCAAATCAGTTTTTTATAAGGCTTTAGCATCCAGAACATACGAAGAACTCATGATTTGACAATAAAAAGGCCAATAACCCAATTAAAAAATGGACGAAGGTATTTGACTATACATTTCTCCAAAGAAGATATATAAATGGCCAATGTTACAGGGGAAATTTTACTAAATATCGTTAGTCATCATGCGACAAAATGAACAAACCATGAAAAGATGCTAAGTGAAAAAACAAACATACATAAAAAGCCATATATTGTATGATTCCATTTATATGGAATGTTTAGAATGGGCAAATCTGTAGGACAAAAAGCAGACTAAGTGATTGCTTGGAGATGGGGTGGGAGGAATGGGGAGGGACTGCTAACAGGTAAGAGTTTTGCAGGGACGGTCATGAAAATGTCCTGGAATTAGACAGTGGTGATGGTTGCACAACCTTACTAATATACTAAAAAAACTTTGCACATTTTTAAAGGGTGAATTTTATGGTATGTGAATTATAGCTCAATTGAAGAAAGTAGTTACCTTGCAGTACAGCTACCAGCCCTGTACTGATCCCAGAAACAATGTCACTGAGTAGCCATTCCTTTATCCGGTATGCTGGTAACCAAGATGCTATGGGGAACAAAGAGAAGGCAATTCTCTTGGCCTTTTGTGAGGAGCAGCTGAAAACATTGAAATCCACAGGTCAGTCAACTAGTATTTAGTTTTAGCATCTCATTGCAGATGGAAGATTGGAAGGATTTGCAGTTGCATTGGGAAAGAGTATATTATATTAATGCTTAATAGATTAATTAGCACTTTCACAGTCACTAACATTCTTCTCCTTACCCATATCAGCTGCTCGCTGGCCACCACCAAAGAACTTTTTTTTAAAAGAAAAGTGCTGTCAGTCTTTAGGTGTACTAGAGCTCATTTGTCACAGTCAGCTTGAATTGTGCAACATTTCAATTGAGAATTTGCCTCTGTCCCTATCTACTTAGTTGTCAGATTTGGAAAGACTGTGTTCATTTTAGAGACTACTTTCTCAATGTTGGTAAGGGGTGGGAGGTTTGGAAACTAAAGATGAAAAGAATCTGTGGGAAACCAGTAAAGTGTGTAGATTATGGGCTAGAGCCAGAAAGGAGAGTTTGAAAGCTTACAAATTTAGGAGAAAGTGCTTCTTTTATTCCTAAGGCTAGTATCTTGAAAAAAACCTTACCTAAAACACTCTTTGAGATGATCCAGAAATGTCTTATGAGGTCTGTATTTCTTCTGATGATGTTCCCTGAAAGCATTTTTGGAATACACTGGCCTGGCCACAATGTATTGATTCCCAATGGGTTCGATCATTTTGCCTTCTCTGTGTGGTCAGTGGAAGATCCTTGGAACTGTTGTGGGGAACCCTTCTTCTTGCCTTTGGTAGGTTAAAGTGCCTGCAATCAAACAGAGCTTGCTTCTTAAATAACTCAGAGATAATGTGATGCAATTTACAGATGAGTGAGCTCTGAACTGAATGTTACCACCTTCGGAGATCAAAAGAGGAAGGATTAAGGGACCTAGATTGTGTTTTGCCACAGTGATACCACTTTTTACTCCAATGAGCTGGACAGAGGTCCTTTGGGTAAGTAAACATGAGCTTTTATTTTACTTTTTAAACAAGATTGCCAAAAAGCAGTAAAAATTGACTCAGTTTATTAATCAATGAGTCAATTTTTTACTTGTGAAAGTGAGCTCTTCTTATCATGAGAAGGTATTTACTTAAAAATTTTTTTTTTCTAGAAAAGTTTCCAAAGTGTGGCACTGGAGTACTGGAACAGATTAGTTTTAACTAGTCACTGCCCTTAACTCAGGTGGAAGCTGTTCCAATTTACCTGTCAGAATCTTTGTAGTAAGGAGCCCTGGTCGTGCAATCGTTAAGCATGCAACTGTTACCTGAGAAGTTGGTGATTTGAACCCACCCAGAGACTCTATAGGAAGACCTGATGATCTATTCTCATGAAGATGACAGCTTAGAAAATCCTATGAGGCAGTTCTACTCTCTCACATGGGGTTACTATAAATCAAAATAGAAGCTCTGGTAGCATAGTGCCTAAGGCACTTGACTGCTAACTAGAAGGCTGGTGGTTCAAACCCACCAGCACTCCTTGGAAGGAAGGTTGGGCAATCTACTTCCGTAGTGATGCTGCCTCAGAAACCCAAGGAGGGATCTCTATGAGTTGGGCCGACTTGACAGCACATAACAACAACAACAATCTTTGCCATACCTTATAAAAAATCATTTGTATAAAACATTACAAAACCCTTTTATGTACATGAATATTTAGCTCTCAAAAGTCTTTGAAACACTTGCTATTGTCATTATTATTCTCTTCTTACAAATGAGAAAACCCTATCACACTCCCTCCATTAAAAAAGGAAAAAAAAAAAAAAAAAA